AATAGATTGTTCCCAACTGAACGATTTTTTACCTATTGTAAGAAGATGGTCCTCCATGAATGGTCTTGCGCTCAATTCTACAAAATGTCAGACTATAAACTTTAGTTTCAGATGTGAACAAAATCTATGTAAATTGTTTAGGTCTCATGATTCCTGTTCTGTTGATGGTTGTGCATGAGAGAATTTTACAAGTGTGATTTATCTTGGTGTATGTTTTCTCCGGACCTTTTCTTGTCCTCCCATATCTTACTAATTTCCAAAAGGATTTTCCGCTTAATTTTCTATATTAGGAAGCTGAGAGTGTTTGGTATAACTCAGCCTTTCCTCCTGTGTTCAGTAAACTCCTATATCTTACCTATTTTCCTTTATTGTCCCCCTTTACTCTTTCGTGGATTGCTGAAAAAAGGCTATGCTGTATTGTGTCGGACTTTAAAGATTGTCAACAGAACTGGTGGTTAACCTCTGAACTTTCCAATTAAAACTGTCGTGGACAAACATATTAATTCATGTAAACATTTGACAGGAGTTATTTTATCAGATGACCAGCATTCTCTTCACTTAAAGCTCTCTGTATTTTGGTCATCAAGAAAGACAAGGAGCAAGTACATAAGACTTTATGCACGTACCACTAAATATAAAAACTCTACAACACCGTACTTAGCTTGTCTTCTGTGTGACGAAGAAAGTATTAGATATGAACTAACTAATCAACTTTCGTTTTTGAAGGTAAACTAATTAACGAGTACACAGCTTGTTATTATTTAATTATTATGAATCTGATTGTTCTGGTCATGGTTTACCTCAGTTAAGTCTGCATTTTTAAGAAAGTTGTAGATGGAGTAAATATTCTTATTCTTATTTCCATTTATTATGCATACATATACACTATTCCTGTCCAACTAATACCATACGATATGTTGAAATTTCTGTACAGTATCCCCTAAATATCATTCAGAATAAAGCTATATTATTATTATTATTATTATTATTATTATTATTACTATCAATATTATTAAAGTAGTGTATGCATGAAATATAAGTCAGCTATTTATCGCTACATTCTAGTAAAAAGGCTTTGCAAATTTAGCAGTTTGAATTCATTAGGCCTTTTTCACAAAACGTTTTCTGTTTCTAGTAAAAAATTCTCCCAACTCTTGACATATTTTTTACATAAAATCCTAGGGTTACTAAACTAGAAGAGTTTCACATACTTTTATTGAAGTAACCAAAAGTGATATGGACTGTACGGTTTGGAAAAAGTTAAGGTTGTAATATTTTTATCTGAATATAAAAAGTATTGTTCATATAGATGGTTGAAAATATTTGCTTTTCAAATAAACTGGTTTAAAGGCCTAATTTTGTTTACTCTATCTTTCTGGTACTCAAGAGTTCGACCAATTATTAACTTCATTGTTATTTATTAATCCGTGATAATCTAAAAACTAAACCAAAAGCGAATCAAAATTCACAAACATTTTTTTCAGAATATTTAATTACTAATGCTATCGAGATCCTAGATTCAGATGAATGACTTCAAAGGTCACCCTGGAAACTACTAGAATGACCAATTGGCTTTTTTAATTTTTTGACTAGAAAGCAAGTTTTTCATAAGATCACTCAGTTGTTGCTAGGATAGCCTTAAGAATCAAGTGACTTTAAAGGTCACCCCAGTAACAACTGACGTAACCAATTAAACTTTTGTATTTTATGACAATCTGCCTTTCCAGCCAAAATGAAGAAACCTGATTATTCATTTCGTTTGTTGCTGGGGTGGCCTTTAAAGTCGCCCTAAGGATCACTTGTTTTGAGATCTGTGTAGCCAAAAGTTTGTTTCAACTGACAATGAACACTAAACAGGAAAAAATAAGGGTGTTCAGAATAAGAAATAGCATGGTTCCGAGAAAGCAAAGACTACTGTTACTAGTTAAGTGAAAAGGCATCGGCAACCTTAATTAGCGCCTTCAACATATGAAAAATAATTAGTCGTAACTCACAGTCTACGGCAATTATGTCTATAGATTTCCTCTTTTTCTTGTATTAATAACAGTGGTTCTATATTCCATTGATTATTTATTGGATAAAACTGGTTAGAAGACGATAAGAGTAAATATAGCTGTTCCGTTTTACTCTGAGACCCTTCAACTTTGCTTGTCTTCAAACAATTCACGAGACAAATTGTATACTCCTTCGGCTCACAGCAACTACGGTACTATAAGGTTGCCAAGTCATAAGTAAATGGTCATCCAAGCAAATGTCTTATCATTGTCTCAAGTAACGCTTATGAAAGGAGAATAAAATTCTAAAAGGATCAGTGTTGTGCTAAGAGACATCACCATCCTCTTCGTTACAACTAAGGAGATAAAATGAACAGAAATGGGCACTAGTAAAAATAATACTTCACTTTAGAAAACAGCATCACGAGCGACCACCTTTCCGCCTTTTAGGTCAGTTAGAGAAAGATTCTATTTCAAGAAAATTAGACTACAAAATGATGGTTTTCCAAGGATTAATGCTCCTTGAGTCAAACGGTTTGATAACCAATGTTTCATTTTGTAACTTTGAGGCATTTTCCGGCTTATTACTTTTGGAGATAAAGATTTCTTGCATTCCGCATTATGTTTCAGCTTTTTCAGGGTGAGTAATCCTCTGAGAAAAAGCTTCATAGGGAAATGAAGCTTTGATGCATTGATGACGTCTAGCATGACACCCACTTAGTTTCTCCACTGAAATCCAAGCTCAGAGAATAACTCACTCTGAACCTGCACACCCCGAGTTACAAATATTCGCCGCAATACTTAAATTTATGACAACAACCATGCCATGATTCTTCGGTATTGGTCTGAGTATTAAGTTTGTCAGTGATGTTAATGACACTACTGTTAGACAGTATGCGTATGAATGCTTTTAAGGACAACGAGTGGTACGAAGAAAAATGGGACATTTTGCATGTTTTGCAGTGAGCATTGTAGCAAACACCGGTTTCCTCTTCTGCCATTTACAGATCCATGGGTTTCGTATAACCTTTATGCTAGTGACTTCATATTTTGGTGGACGAAATTTGCTCTACTTTGTCTGAGAAACGCACTTATAACAGACAGATAAGCACTATTAACACTTGTCCAGGTAGTATTACGACCGTACTTTCCACAGCTTATATCAGCACCTCAAGTGAAAATGAATCAAGATGAAAGAAAAAGAAATAAAGAAGAAATTAGTTGAAAGTGGCAAGAAGATTTCAAAATGGACCAACAGACAGTCATCAAAATTCTTAGACTGATGCAGTTTTCTTTTTGGCTTTCTCTAACTTCATCTAACTCGAACGTCCTTCAGCTGACATTGTACGACAACGTGGATGGTGAATAGGCATGTGTAACATTTCCAAGCCATATCAGTTGATGAAGGCTCGCGACCTAGTCAACCAACTTTCTACTTCTTTACAAAACTCTACGCTTGACTTTCATGTTACTGATGTGGTGACACCACGAAACAGCTTATGCCACGAAAGCAACGGCCGTCAGACAATCTAAGACTTCTCATATCCTCTACATTCATTGACCATGCTTTCCGGCCATATAGTAGAACAGAAAGAAGCGCGGAGTAGTAAACTCTATTGTTAATAGGCAACCCGATATCACGTAGTACTATAGATAGCGCGAACCTTTTGTATTCGTGCACAGATTTTATCAGCCACTGTTCTACTAGGGCTGACCTGAATTAATAAGTAAGTGAACTGGTCAACGCGCTCAACCATTTCACTCCCTATTACCAAACAAGACCCAATTAAAGGTCAGTCCTAGAAAAAAATCTGAATTTGATTAGTGGAAAACACATCCCAAACAATCTCAAATCACCACTCAAAGTGTCCAACAGATTGTAACTCTTCAGCATCTCCGGTTAACACCAATATATCATCTGCATACTACACGTTTATCAAGGAGCCTCCAGTGACAAGGATAATTTCTGCGGTCAGTCAACTCGTGAGAGACCCCTATAAGTACTCCCATAGTAAAGTTGAATAAGAATGGAAAGACTAGACACCCTTGATGCATATAGCTCACTTGATAACTCATCATAAGCTCTGATGTAGCCACAGCTGTTCCAGTGCAGAGCCCCCAATATAGTGATGTACCTAACCTGCACCTTTCTTAGTGAGAGGAACTGCCATAAGACCTCTTGGTCAACGGAGTCGAACGCTGCCTTCAGATTGTGAAATACAGCTTGAGTAGTGAGCTGGTAGGTGTGTCATTATTTCAGAATCTGGTAAAGGGTGAATATCCGATAAATACAAGCACGATCAGATCTGCGACTTTCCTAGTTTTCAAGGGTTTACTGTTCCTGAGTTCCACTCAAACGTCTGATAATTAGAATGTTAGATAATATGTTAGTCAGCTTGTTGTTCTTGAAACATTTTTTAAATGCGGGAGAGCTACTTTCATGTTGTTTAAAGCAAAACTTCTCAAATATAGATGTTATCTGCTTTCTGGAAGGCTATCAGAAAAGATTATTTTGTACAACTTACCTTTAATCCACAGAAACTACAATGAGATTTTGCTCATTCGAACGTTTGCGCACTGAGAAAATTGTAAAGCATTTTGGATAGAAGAAACTAAAAATATATTAGGAAACTTAGAAACGTGGTGTTCATGTCAAAATACAGCGAGCAAACGACTTGGAAATAATACGGTTCGCTCATCGTCCAGAAGAAAAAGGGGGTAAACAACAGGTTACTAATTGGATGGTAAATTATCTTCGATTTAGTTATCCTAATGACACACTACCCAACCAAAAAGCTACTGTCAGAAGCCATAAGTTTTCCCCAAAGTTTTAACAAGATGAAGTGAGGAACTAATCAGCTTTCCTTTGATGTGCAGCTTGTCCTGAATGCATTTTATTAGTCCAAAAGTCAGACAGTCATTTTGTTTTTTTGTCAGGTAGTGAAAAGCAAACAACTTTCGAAGTATATAAAACAAGGTTAAACAGTGACACTAACGAGCACTTACATTATTAAGCTGGTCAGATGAGAACATCATATAATGTGGTAGCATACTTCCACTTTGTGGCAGTGTTTTATTGTGTGGTTCTCCAGGATAATTTTTATTGGTCACCACTAAATATGCATCTAAACTTGATGTTTGACCATGACATTTATAATGTCCCGTATCTTGCATATCAACGTTGTCTATGCGTAGTATCAGTCGACCTTTATCATCATGCATTGTGTAGACTGTAGTTTGTATCGTATTTTGTGAATTTGTAGAATCCTTCGTATTACCACTGGCACCACTTCTACTGATACCTGTAGGCAAACTGTTCCCCACAGCATTTGTAAGTAAATTCACATCGGATGGCAGTTTGCTTGAGCCAATCAAGGCGTATGGATGTGGTCCAATCTCACGGCTAGTATAGTCGTCTTCTGCTTCATATGTCCATTTCAGTCCACCACAACAAATAAAATAAACATCACTGCCGACTACTGCTGTGACATTAGATGAACTGCCTAGTTCTAGAGTTGTAAATTGTCCATCTGCATTTGGTCTACAGCATTCGAAGGATCCGAAGAGAAAAGTAATGAATCCGACGTAGACTACAAGACTGAAACAGAAAATGTGAATAGCTGAGTAATAATAACAAGATAAGCGTTTTGTCCCTTTGATCAACTAATTGCAGCGAGTGTTATTCGTAAAAATATATACAACATAAGTTAATGTCTTCGAATGTAATTTTAACTCTGAGGAAACTCATAAGACTGACGTAGAAATCGAAATAAAAAAATTGATCAGTTTGCTTTATTCTATAGTTCTGTACTGTTCTTGTCCCCTGTTCCCAGACTATTCTAGTTCCGGTAAGTAAACTATGATTCACAAATCTGCCGTACTGGACTTGTTAGTTCCTTTGCCTTAATATCACTGTTTTATTACTGAAAGCTTGGAAATCTTTGAAAGTAATCAATACTCACGAGTTCCGCATTCAGACAAAACACCCGGTCAATATACAATAGCTTATGGCGATTCCTTAGTGACTGCCAGTTTATATTTTGAACTGAACACAATTCAAAAACCCAATTTTATTCATTGGTCATTTGAGATCTAGGGTAACTCCAAGTGTCTGGCTTCATCGTGTATTCAAATTTGAATGTGTTTAGCTAGATGATTGCAGTATAAAGTTTATCAGACAGATAAGTCAAACTTTAGTAAGCTTAAAAAGTACACTTCAAGCTATCTAACCTTACGACAGCACAGATTTTTAGAAACAACCGAAAAAGAAATAAATAGGAAGCTAATCACTTGTAACGGAACAATAAGCAAAATATTTTAACTTTCAAAGAAGAAAAACAATAGTTATGGTTTGATCAGTAGTGACGCTGTTTACCTATGATATTCAACTGCTGCTTTTTAGCATCCCATTAGCCCAAGAAAAGTATTTTATACTACGCGTAATTTAAGGATTAATCCTGAGTCCTTGTGCCAGTGCTCAAAAGTGATTATTGTTACAGTAAAACTTGCACACTGTGGTAGAATACAACTTCACATTAAACTTATCATTCGACTTCGCACATATTGACATAGCAGTATTCACTGGATGACGTTTTGTATGCGTTAGGTTTTAATTTAGTGGAGAATTTTCAGTTGTCAATCTTTTCCTCTACCTAGGCATATTGGGGTTTAGAACTGTTACCCTAGCGCACCTTCAAGAGTAAGTAACCCAGTAAATGCAGAGTGATAGCCGAGTTCTCCTAAAAATTTATCAGTATTTCCAGATGACTATAAGCAGTAAGCTCTGCTCGAAACATCATCTGGCGCTAAACCGGATAAATAATCTTATACGGATTTCTCAAAATTAAATCGAAGACAGTCAATCAGAAATATTCATGTGATCTAATGCACCCTTACTTAACTCAATAAACGTGTTTTCTCTGTACAAGAATGGTGGAAAGCCGGAAAAAGATTTTCAGCCATTTGATCAACAAATATCTCTTAGGGGTAGATATAAACTGCATTCGAGAGTTCTACTGACTAAGAACAAAATTTGATCATCATTTGAATGTTATCAAATACAAGACCTCTTAAACCGCTTGAACAACCCTAACCTTTAGTAGTTTCTCCATTAAATGTTTTGTACATTCATCTGTTCAAAATGGCTAGTTATTTGGCCCGTTCACCAAAAGTATGTATAGTTCCTATAATATAGTCGGAGACTACACTACAGAACGCATAAGCTATGAAAGCCAAGCTATAGAAATGACTAGGAAAATTTAAATTAACAAATTCATTGATTTCCTTTCAGGCAAATTTAAATAACCCATAATTGCTGCTTTAGACTTCCACTGTATTCAAAACTTGTCAGTTAATAAAAATGACACTGAATCTTAGTTTTAATTTTTATAAATATTATCAACTACGTAAAGAATAGTTAATTTGATCCTAGTAAATCATTATCTGTTTGAATAAACAGGGAACAAATTGCACAGTTATGAACATTAACAACTGCATAAACGTATGGCATCGTCTGATTGCAAACTTTGAGAAACTTGGTCACAGGCGATGAATGACTGTCTAACAAAATCAGCGTAAGACCTCGCACATGGGTGCATCGACTCAAGTTGACATACTTCACAGCAGCACACAAAGAACAGGTGGGTAGAAAAATAGCAATCAAAGAAGATAAAGTTGTATGAGAGAACAAACAAGTTGAAGATAACGATTATTGGAAATATTCATGCTTTAAAAGATGTCAAGGACTGAATACATCTGGACTACTGTGACTGGTTTTTAGCCATGCCAACAAGAGTTCTCAACGACTCATTCCCTTCGTCTCAAGGACCCCAGCCAGGCAGTCTACATTTCCCGATACGGCTCTGACCAAAAGTGATAGACTTCACTGACGGATGGCAGGTCTTAGTCTAGTTATTCTGAACCCTCTTCTGACCTAATCCCACTTCACCTAGCACAGTACGTCGAGGTAGGTGGTGACTAGGTATGCGCTGTATATGTGCAAGCCATCTCAGTCAAATAAGGTTCACAGACTCATTAATCGACTTGTCTATCTTGCCTGATTAACGGGTGTTAAGAAGGGTAAACAGAATTTCGCGCGAAAGTAGGACCGTAATAATCTATGTTAAAACAGATTAGGTTGTGCATACTAAAGCCTTCAAAATCTAACTTCTGGTGAGGTAAAAAAAGATGCATCTCTTCCGAAAACGTTTGTTCATTGATGTTGAAATCAGGAGAAGGAGAAATAATTACATAGTCTAATGGATACCTAGTTCACTAGTTACTAGCCGGTCCTAAGCCCGAGTAAAGAGGGAAGGTTGGGCATAGGGCTAGCAACCCTACCCCGGAAAACAAATCTAACCGCTAAACAAACTTCAAAGCACAAACAAAATATAAAAAGTAGTAACAAAATTATTCCTTGCTGGAATCGGAGAGGCGAAAGGACGCCGGTTGGTGAAAGCCTTCGGGAAGCCAATTGGCCGATGTGTCATCTCTCGAAGCAAGCGAAAGTAAACGTGGGGAAATGGAATGTCCGCACCATGTTTGAACCTAACAGATTGCCGACGAGATGAGAAGGTATCACATTGAAGTGCTTGGAATTTGCGAAAGCAGATGGAATGGGAGTGACTCTCCAAACTGTCATCTGGAGAATCAATAATCTACTCCGGTCACCCAGATGACAACCACGAGCACACTGAGTTATCGAGTGGCTACCATGGTGTCCCCAACAGCATCGAAGGCTCCCTCTCATACAGTGGGAACCAATCTCCTCCAGTATCAGGATCATAACATCAAGGTTCAACTCAAAAGGAAGGAATGTCACAATCATACAATGCTATGCACCTACAAACAATGCAGAGCAAGAGAAGAAGGAGGAATTCTACAGACAACTTCAATCAACACTGGACAAGACCTCAGTTGGCGATATCAAAATTCTAATGGGTGGGGTGACATGAATACCAAACTGGGAGCGGGCAACACAGGAAGAGAACTAACAATGGGTCGAGAAGCGCTCAGTGAGGTGATGAACAACAATGGAGAATTGTTTGCAGAATTCTGTGCATTCAACGATTTGGTGATTGCAGTGAGGCAGTGTGTTCAAGCACAAGGATATCCACAAAGTGAGCGACATGGATTTCACCAGACACCAGGACATACTGTAAATCAGATCGACTTTATATCAATCTCAAGAAAATGGAGACGCAGTCAGCTTACTTGACACAAGGTCAAGAAGAGGAGCAGATGTAGGTTCAGACCACTATCTAGTGCAAGGAACCTTCCAAATCAAGTTAAAAGCCTTCAAGGAAGCTGGTGATAGACCTCAATTCAAGTACAATACTCGGAAACTGAAGGATGGAACTACAAAGGAAATCTTCATGGCAGCCATCAAGACAAAATGGGAGATATCGAGGGACATCCCTGAAGAAACCTGTGTGGAAGAACACTGGAAGTCTTTGAAAGAGATGTGGAAAGAAACCTGAACAACAGTATTAGGAAGGAAGAAGAAAGAAGATAAGGAATGGATCTCAGTGGATACATGGAAGCTGATAGAGGAGAGGAGGATGATGAGGCAGAAGATAAACCAGTGCAAGGATGCTGAACGACAAGAGGAACTGAGTACAATGTATAAAACACTACACTGGACAAAGAAGTGAAGAAAAGTGCACGAAAAGACAAAAGACACTTCTACGAAACACTGGCAAGTGAAGCAGAACAGGCTGCAGATAGGAAAGACAGAGACCTGACAACATTGTATCAAATAACCAGGTTACTATCTGAAAGGGAAGTGATCAACGCAGACGAAACCAATAAAAGATGATGAAGGAAGTATAATTACGAGAGAAGAGAAACAAAGGAAACAATGGGCTGACCACTTCAAAAAGCTCTTGGGTCGACCACCACCACCATCTGCACTTCGTCCAGAAATACCACCTACAGCCGCTGAACTACAAGTGAACATAAATCCTCCAACAAAAGTGGAAGTCCTGAGCGCCATAAAGCTGCTGAAATGTGGGAAAGCAGCAGGACCAGATGGGATCCCACCAGAAGCACTGAGAACAGACGCAGAGACAACAGCAGACATGCTCACACCACACCACTATTGCAGAAGGTGTGGAAGGAAGGGAAGGTACCTGGCGATTGGAAGAAGGGTTACCTTGTCGAACTCCCGAAGATGGGTGGGAGAACTCAGTGTTTGCAAGAACTGGCGTGGAATCACTCTCCTGTTCACCCCAAGCAAAATCTTAAGTCGCATCATCCTAGACAGGCTAAAGGATGCACTAGATTCAAAACTACGACCGAAACAGGCAGGCTGGATTCAGGAAGTACAAATCATGTGCGGACCAAATTGCAATGCCACAATGACATGGAGAAGTTCGTGCGAGGAGGAAATGAGAGCTAGTGGGCTGTCGTGGAGCCAGGTTGAAAAGATTGCAGAGAACATAGTGGAATGGAGACGTGCTACTGAAGCTGTATTTTCCACTAGGAACTCAGGGGACAAATAACAATAATAATAATGGATACCACCATAGTTAAGTACATATCCCTTAACTCTATTAAGGGAGAAAATGTAGACGAGGATATTCAGATTTTACCAGACTAAAACACTTTCTAACATTCTAAATAATATTTCTAAAACAAATTCATGAAACCTACTTCAGTATATTTCGTGCTAATCTTATAGATTACTGCCATGAACCAGAAAATAGGTGAAAAAAAGTTGTATAACTGAAGGTTATTGTCTCCGTAAAACAACGCATATTCGATAAAACAAATCGAACATAACATCAAACTAAATGCAAACTCTGCAAATGCAGTGGAAACCACTCTTTTAACCCCGGCTAGCTTAAATTACATCATTTAAAACAGTCTCGTTCAGCATTGGTAGCAATAACGGGAAAAGTGTCAAGACGATAGGTAGTGGTTTCAACCTTCAAGTATACTTAACACTTAACAAAATTTTGTGGTGCGGTAAACTTTTGTCACTAATTCGAGAAAAACGAGCTTTTGTTAGCTGACACGCCACATCAAGGACAAAATACTCTTTCTGAATTCAAAATATCCTCTCCCCCTTAGTCCCACCACTGATTTGGGTGCAGATCCTTGCATTTACTTGAGGAGATTGCAGTGTGTTTTAAATGTTCGATGTGCTATCGTATTGAAGACCACTAGATACGGGAGTATATAGGATTTGAAAACTATGAGAAACGGTTGAGAGCACTAGGATTTCTACGCAGAAAATGTAAACCAACACTTTCTTCGTCAATGGCAGCCAGCTCTAGCTGCCATTTCACTTATTTGTGATCACAGTGTTAACTAGTTTCAACAACGAACCGAAATTTCACTAAACTTATAACAACCTTAGTAGTCAACTATAACAGGTATATAAAAAATAAAACTCACGTATTCATATGACTAAATTTCGAACGTACAACCACTTTTGGTTTGTGCGGGCTAGGAGTTCAAAGACCTTTAGGGCACTTGCACAACTTCAATTTTCAATACCATCGATCATATCAGGACAAACTGCATCTCAGTTACTGAAGTATTTAAATATGCTTGATAGAGAAAGCCCAAAATGTATGTCTTTTCTCTAAGAGAACCGAAATAAGTCAAATTATGAAACCCAGTTTACCACTTGTCAGACTTCGAGACCCTGCCCATTCAATATCCCACCTTCAAAATCAGTAGTGCAATTACATGAAGACTGTGGCCATTAATCCTTTGCTTCTTGATATTGAGGTTCGGTCCCTTTTGTTTGGTTGTACTCCTTCGGTGATAGCAGAAGTCTTAATAGTTTGCCTGCCTACAGATTTGCAGAAAAAGGTTGTGTTTGTAGTTTTCTTTTTCCAATCCCTGCTTCTGCTAGTGCCCCCAACCAAATGTCAGACGTCATTTAAATAACGTTGCTAAGAATAAGGCGGGCGAAGAATGAAAAAACAGAAATGAAAAGTACCTACGGAAAAATAAATGTTACATGTGAGTATTGGTATGGATGAGTATACCTTCAGCTGCTGCCGGTGAATGTTAGTAGTAATCAGTTTTCACTCAGATACTTATCAGGCAGCCGTTTGAAGGAGTTGACTTATGCAGCCATGGCAATTCTCTCTGCAAGGCGTCCAATAAAGTGCACACTTCGAGTGAAAAGAAGTTAGATCTCACTCTTGTATTTTCCCTATACGGGGGTATATGAGTAGTGTCCAGCGAGACTGACACTTTCAGAGTACGGTGGTTCATTTGGCGAATGATCTTGTAGGTTGTTATTAGTTGTCTTTTTTCCTTCCATAGCCGAAGGTGAGGGAGTTGAATTGCCTGAACCGTTGCGCATATGTTTCGCCTGACGGTTCGACGGGCTACCCTATTGCCCTTCTCTACACCTTCCAGGCAAAACTTGCACCTCGCTTCAGTAGAGGCAATTGGTTTTGAACATCTCTAGGTGTGGTCTAACATAGGTTTTTAGAATGGTTAGGAAAAATTAGGGCGTTAGCACTCCAAACTACCTTCCTAGAAGGAGCATAGTGGTGTTCCCCACTCCTGCCATCCCCTTATAGTTGATACTAGTGTTCGGTGTGTCAGGGAAGTTTAGTCCTAGATCCTCCCACTTGGATGCCGGATAATTAAGCACTCACAGTGGATAAGGCTGGTTTCTACCGCTGACCAGGACCCCGGCTGCAGCAGATCATCTTTGAGTATCCCGGGCTCTTCTTCCTTAAGTGTTGTCTTCCATACTGCCAACTAGGGGAATAAACGATATGATTGAACAGAGGAGCCAGTGATGAATAGCAAAATTTGGAGCGGCTCAAGAATGGCTCCTTGAAAAACTCCTGCACTTGCACTCCTTCGGGTTGGCCGGTTTCTGATTACTTTAGAACAGAAGTCTCTGCCTTTTGGATGTGCTGTAAACCATGCTATGAGTGATTTAGCTACACCTATTTTTGCAAGTTTAGCTTGGTGTAGTGTGTGGGGCGGTGTTGAATGATTGGCATCAACACAGAGGTAGCTCAGACCGGTTGTCTGTTGTCTCATCTATTAGTCTATCCATCCCAAGAAGTTATCAAGTTTCTGGCATATGATCATCGAGTTCTGAATCTGCGGTGGGTGGAAAGAGTGTTCTTCTTTCCTTCAGATAGTTTAAAACAGCACCTGCGACTAGGTCTTCCAGTACCTTGAATAGTATGCGAGGTAGTGCTTTTGGTCTGTGTTCGCATGGGCTCCTTTGGTCCCCTCCCTCAAAGATTGTCAGAAAACGGTTAGCTTCCATTCTTATATCCAACGAATGAGCGAACTCATTGTGTATGGGCATGCTTAGAGCTTCGATACAATTCCGCAATTCCACCTATCCTATATGGTCAGTGCCCAGAGATCTCTCAACCCTGAGCATTCAAAGTTTCTCAAACGCTTGGTTTGACGAAATCTCTACGTTCATCGGCTTCGTATCGTAGTCCTGAAACTTAAGTACATTACTAGATGCTGATGGTGGATCAATCAGTGTCCATCACGGCAGTTCTAAACAGTTCGGTAATTTCACTGGTGTTCAAAGACTCTCCGTTAGGTCCCGTGATAGGATCTATTTTCGTCTATCGTCTTCGTGATATGGGCATTTAGGGTTTTAGCCCATCTGTGCGGACGGACTATTTTAAAATTTGTACTTGCTATTGTAAACATCAGCATGAGTGGTGTAACTTATTTTAGCTAAGAAAGCTCAGTTCATGGTGAGATGTGGGCCGTTTACGCCATGCTCCGTTTTTCCTCCGGATTCGTAGTTGGGTTGGATGACCAATCATTTATCTTCTGCCAACAGACATCATCGTATTTAGCCGAAAGTTCTATCAAAGTCTGCCTTACTTTGATAGGAAAACAGTATTTGTTGTCCACTAAACAGATTCTCAACGCTTCAAGTGAAATACACGTTACATCACAAAACTTCACGCGAGATCATGACTTTCGTGTTTCGTAGTCCGTAGTCCCTTGGACAATGCAAGCTGAAATTATACCTGCATCTTCATTTGCTGGCCACTAAAATTATTATGTATAAATCTACAATGACACATGGAGGTTCTTCTTCTCGAGTAAAAATGAATTTTATACCAAGGGAATACAGTGGTTTTGAACAGAAACTTTTACTTTCGTTTGATTTAGTCACTAATGCTCCTCACTTCAACCAACTGTAGTCCCATGTCTGAACCAAACCTCTTCCTGTATCTATTTCTACAATGCTTCCTCGCATACATGTGCATTATCTAACTAATTACTATTTTAGTCACCAATGAGATACGGTTCAGCTGTAGAACCACTTTTGAACTACTTCGCCGAAAGTTTGCAGATGAATAATGACGTGAATGCATGACCGCATGCATTTGACGAAAATATTCACAAAATCCATGAAGGCCAGTGCAAATATCGAGATCGTTAAAATATGTTGTTCAGTTCGAGGATTTATTTGCCGCGGCAGCCAACTACCTTCTTCGCTGCATCTTCTGAGGCTTTAAGGCAATTCCAAAGGCAAGCGAAGTTAATAAAGGTTCAATACCAATCACACTTATTCACTGAGATCACTGAATGAACAGCCCCAGGTTCATTATTAGGTTTTGTACCGTCTCTGAAAGTGGTAGTAAGAGGCGAATAAAAGTGAAATTTTGGCCATCCTCGCGCTCCGACCAGACGTTTAAGACATGAAGTACTCTGCACTTAAGCAGCCACCCACCGTGCGTAATTATGGAAGACGGAAATTCTACGTTCACCACTAATCACTAGAAGAAAACAAGCGATTGTTTGGGAAACGATGTGTTTAATGGGTACCGCTACCAACCATTTCATGGGACGCTCAACACATGAGAAAAGATAAGTGTATTGAATAAATGCAGTAGGAAGACTACAACATTTTCATACTTTAGATCTAGGCATCAACCCAAAACCAAGGAAGATTTTTAATGGCTTCTGTGACAAAATATTTAGGCTTCTGGAACCCTGAAGTTGTAGCATTCTTTTAAGTGACAACGTTGTCCGACAAAACTGGTATGCGATGAGAATGAAAAGAGCTCTTACGCCTCTACAGAGTATTGTGCCCAATAAAGTAAAAACTTTGCATCCACTTTCTTGGGTCATCGTCAGGACCACTCTTGACGTCAGACTGTATCTTTCCTGAAACCATACGATGGCGCTAGCAGTTCTGGATTTGTGGGCCACAGCTCGTGGTCCAGTCCAATATCCTATTTTTCAAGACTAGACACTTCACTGTCGATACCTGACAGATAATGCTGTGAGTCTAGTCTGGTTGGCCCGTCCCTGACAGAATTACCCACCTCTGATAGGTGACAGAATATTATGGTAGGCAGGAAGATGTTGTTCGTCTATCGCGACCAGCGTGGGAAGTACTAGCTTGATGCTGAAAGAAAGACAAAACCCTGGACTTGATGGGCTGTCAGTATTCTTAAAATGGCTCTCAGTCAAATGTCGAAAGTGGCACCTGTAACCTATCATAGCCAACAGCTTCACTTCGTGCTGCGGCCTTCAGGGAGATCATGGTGGGCGCCGCTAGTCGTCAACCACCTGTTGTAAAATTAGCAGAGCTATTAAGGCCAATAAACTGACGACAACACTCAAAGGTGCACCAAGACAATGATACTCCAACATAGCTGCGTCCGCTACGGCTTCCTTGAAATCTAAAAGGCAAATTTAGCCGGCGTTCATACCCATGTGTTTGTATTCCTAGGAAGGAGATTGGCAGTCGATCACATAAGAGAGAAACGGTTTAAAATACCTACGGTGACAGCTTATAACGTTGTCAAAATGGCAGAGCTGCCTCGAATTTGTCAGTTTCCAATAATTTAAGGTAGAAACCACCTTGTTTTCAGGTATGTGTACACCTTAGCTTTCAAAAGTCCGCCTAAAAAACGTCTGTCGGTTTGACCTTAATCCAGCAGTTCTGAATCCTGCTTCTTCGGTCCACAAAACGTTCTATCTCTGTTTTTCAGCCGAGCTTCCCTTTCTAAAGTAACAGCTAGGCAGTCATCTATGCGAACGTGAAAGAACTAATAACCAAGGAATATTTAAGGCGGCGAAATGCTTCCGCCGTATTATTGAAACCAGAAGGCATGCCCAAGAGCTCGAAGCATCCAAAAATCGTTATAGCGGCCGTTTCTGCAATGTTATCTGCCACTACAGACGCCTAAGTAGATGCTTCAAATTGGCGGGTTTTGGTGGCGTGCGTTTCAGGTAATAACATATAGATTTTGAACATATGCATCATCGAATTGAGTCAGCACGGGTCTCGACTTTTGACCAACGGTGGTTGCTTGTTACATACCAATCGTTACCATATTTTTTCGCTACCGAAAGTAATGAGTACACCTGAAGCGTATTCGACAGTTAGGTGGTGCTTGAGTGGTGTAAACGGTCAGACGTCTTCTCC